ATGCCAGTGGCTCACAAAGGAGAATATTTACTCAAAGACTCCACAGCTTTAGAGGGAGCATTGCCTGGAGCTACAACTGATTTCCAGACTACAGAGATCAGCAATGCTCCCTGTAAGCTGTGTAGTCTTGTGAGTAAAAATTCTACTTTGTGGCAGAGGACAGATACTCTTAGCTGCTTGATTTCTAAAAGGGGTGGTAGTGCCAGTCGTCGTATCTCCAGTGGTTACGACCATGAGAAAGAAGCACTCTGCAATATCATTATTCATGTATCCTAGAACTGAACCTTGGAAGTCTTGTCATTTTATGATAAACAGCCTCTGAATTTGGATTCTGTAAACAAGCCCTGACCAGGCCGGTCTCAACAGATCTTGTGGCTCAATGGCAGAGCAACGGCTTGGCATGCAGAAGGTCCCAGGTTCAGCCCCCGGCAATGTTCCCTCTAAGCTGTGGGGTCTTGTGAGCAAAAATTCTACTTTGTGAGCTGCTGGCATTCAAGTTGTGAGCGAGCAATTTGGCTACTGCATAAATTAGTTTGCTCTGGAGCCACCCTTCCTGAGCGAAGACAAAAATGTGTGAGGCAGAGGCTAAAAAACCATGAGCTAGCTCACACTAACTCAGCTTAGAGGGAACACTGGCCCCCGGCATCTCCAGCAATTAAGGATCAAGTGGTTGGTCATGTGAAAGAACTCTGCCCGAGACCTCGAAGAGCCTCTGCCAGTCTGAGTAGACGAGACTGAACTTGATGGGCCCAAGGGTCTGATCCGGTATGAGCCAGCGTCATCGGTCCACACGGGTTCATCTCTCCAAAATGAGTGTGTGCATCAGTGAAGCAGCCATTTGTGTCTGATACATCCCAGATTTGGGGTCTGCATCTGTCCTCTTTGAGGAACATAGGCTGCGGTCAAACGGAGCGTTAACCACGCTACAGAAACGGAAGATAGGCAGATTGTCCGGGCACGATCACAGCGCCACATCTGGGAAGCATAGAGCTCCCGTGGCTCACCCGAGGCTTCCCGCCGAAGATGCGGGGTAAAAAACTAGTACCTCCGAGGTACTAGTTTCCAGAAACTGCGGGGCAAGGGCGGGCGTCTGATCGCGTTTCCGGTGGCATCCGGCGCCCGCCCATGTCCCCCAACAAAAAGGGGTTTTTTTCCCCCAAGTCTCCATGGGATGCGCACAAGCACCCAACGGAGCATGCGCACACTTCAGTTTAAAAAACAACAACACAACCCCGTTTGCCACGCCACCCCGCTTCTTTGCCTGTGGTGTGATCGGCACCTCCCCCCTAACCACGGGACCTCGAGGGACCTCAACTGGACGTCTAATTGCGCAGCCGCGCGTTATTTTGCTCCGGGGCAAACAGCCACGCTCCCCCCCCCGCATTTTCCAGCCATAGGAGGCTTGTCTCAGAAGTCTGTTGTGATCCCAGAGCCACAGGTGAAGTGTTTAGAACACACACCTTAAAAATTGCTTCGTGTCTGTTGTATAAGCAAGATATGTTTGCACCAACTGTTGTGACGTTGCATGTGATGCATCTGGGTGTGTCCTCAATGTCGGCTGGGATGATGTGCCGTTTCATGTTTGGCTTGATTTTCCATCAAGGGCAACTCGCAACGGGAGGAGTAGATCCAGGAAATATGGAGAAGAGAGGAGTGTCACAAGGCAGTGTGCGAAAGGCAGTGATTTATGGATCAGTGTCATTCGAGGAGAAGACAGCAGCAGATGTTCCATCAAGCTCCATCCTGGTTTTCACAGATGTCAGAAATGAGGTGCTCTTTCAAAAACAGCGATGGGCATTTCAGATAGCTTTGGCAGAAGATTTCCTCCAAAATGTGTTCTATGGCTACTTATTTATCATAGGGCAGAGTTGCACATGGGAAGCAGGGCTATTTTTGGGCAGGAACGCACAGGAACGGAGTTCCGGCTGGCTTCCAAGTTGGCCACGCCCAGCAGGAACTCATTAGCATAATAGGCAACACCCAACAGCAGGAACTCATTAGGGCTGGCTACATTAGGGGTGTGTGGCCTAACATGCAAAGGAGTTCCTGCTACAAAAAGGCCATGGGTTTTGACAACAAACAAGGTAAACAGAATAAGAAGCAAAAGGTGGGTGTGGCTGGTTGAGCGCACTTTATTATTTATTTATTTTATTTTATTCAATTTATACCCCGCCCTCCCCGCTACGCGGGCTCAGGGCGGCTTACAAGAGGCATATGCCAATATAAAACATATTTAAAATCATTTAAAATCATCACAATACAGATAACATTATAACGAGTTATTAACAAAGTGCTCTAGTTGTTATTTCACAAGATGGCGTGTTTCACTGCTCTATTGCCACTGCTCTGTTCCTCAACATCATCTGCTCCAGGGAAACACTGGTGTTCCCTCTTCCAGGGCCAGGTAAGATGGAACAATAATGATGGTACTGGTGGCTCCTACTCATACGCCTGGTGGAAGAGCTTCGTCTTAAGGCCCTGCGGAACTGTACAAGGTCCCGCAGGGCCCGGATCTCCACCGGGAGCTCATTCCACCAGGTAGGAGCCGCCACCGAGAAAGCCCTGGCCCTGGTCGCGGCCAGCCTGGCCTCTTTGGGACCTGGCATTGCCAGGAGATGTTGCATCCCAGACCGAAGTGCTTGCGGGGGAACATATGAGGGAAGGCGGTCCCTTAGGTAAGCTGGACCCAGACCATGTAGGGCTTTAAAGGTAAGAACCAGCACTTTGAAGCGAATCCGGAACGCTATTGGCAGCCAGTGCAGCGCTTTCAGCATAGGCTGGATGTGGTCCCTACTAGGAAGACCCGTCAACAGCCTGGCCGCAGCATTCTGCACTAGCTGCAGCTTCCGGATTTGCGACAAAGGCAGCCCCATGTAGAGAGCGTTGCAGTAGTCTAGCCTCGAGGTGACCGTCGCATGGATCACCGTGGCCAAGTCACTGCGGTCGAGGAAGGGGACCAACTGCCGCACCAGCCGCAGATGGTAGAAGGCTGACTTGGCAGTGGCTGCCACCTGAGCCTTCATAGTTAACATGGAGTCCAAGAGCACTCCCAAACTCCTAACCTCCGGCGCTGGCACCAAAGGCACCCCTTCGAAGGTCGGGAGAGGGAGCCCCAACCCCAGACCACCACGACTCAGCCCCAGGACCTCCGTCTTCGCCGGGTTTAACTTCAGCCTGCTCAGTCGGAGCCAACCAGCCACAGTTACTTCTGGTAACATGGGGTGTGGCCTATAATGCCAATGAGCTGTGCTGTCAGGGGTGTGGCCTAATATGCGAATACGTTTCTGCTGTTGGGTGTGGCCTATTATGCTAATGAGTTCCTGCTGGGCTTTTTCTAGGGTTGCCAGCCTCCAGGTGGGGCCTGGGGATCTCCCGCTTTTACCACTGATCCCCAGCCGACAGAGATCAGCTCCCCTGGAGAAAATGGCAGCTTTGAAGGGTGGACTCTATGGCATCGTACCATGCTGAGGCCCCTCCCCTCCCCAAACCACGCCCTCTCCTGGCTCCACCCCCCAAAGTCTCCAGGTATTTTCCAACCCAGACTTGGCAACCCTAGCTTTTTCTACAAAAAAGCCCTGAATTGGAGCTCTAGGCTGGTCCTGCACTGAGCAGGGGGTAGGGCTAGATGGCCTCTGTGGACCCTTCCAACTCTGTGATTCTGGTTCCATGCCCACTGCCACAGTCACTCCATTGGTTCGAAGTAGGGTTGCCATCTGTGGGCTGGGAAATACCTGGAGATTTCTGGGGGTGGAGCGTTGTTTGGGGAGGGGAAGGGAAGGACTTCAGCAGGGCATATGGAGTCTATCCTCCAGACTCCAGAGCCATCTTCTCCAGCGGAACTGATCTTGATTAGCCGGCGATCAGTTGCAATACGGGGGATCTCCAGGTGCCACCTGGAGGTTGGCACCGCCCTCTGACTGCTTAGTAATGCATCCACCCAGCCCTCCCCCGCTTCGCCCCGCCCTTCTCTTCGCGAGCCTGTGCGTGCAGTTCTTCCCCGCGCCGCTAGGGGCGCTGGCCAGGCGTCGCCGGAAGCGCTCGTGCGTGCGCGCGCGCGCGCGCACAGCCGAGCCGGTCTAGGCCGAAGGCCCCGGCCGGCTCAGCTTCGGCAGCCTCATCATCATGGCGGAGCCGCGAGACAAGGCGCTGCAGGACTACCGCAAGAAGCTGCTGGAGCACAAGGAGATCGACGGGCGCCTCAAGGAGCGTGAGTGGCTCGGCCGGGAGGGGAGGAGCCCTGGCCGCCGCCTCGGGTGGCTTTGCCGCGGGTTGGGCCTGGCCGGGGGGGGGCGGGGAGAGGTTCGCCCGGCTGGGCCCAGGAGGAGGACTGCTCTTGTACGGGGAGGCTCGACAGGCAGGCAGCAAATGGAAGGGCCGCCCGGCTGGGCCCAGAGATGGGCTGCCTCTGTGCAGGGAGGCTCTGTAGGTAGGGAGCAGATGGGTTAGGGTCGCCTGGTTGGGCGCAGCGGTAGGCTGCTTCTGTCCAGGGAGGCTCCACAGGTAGGCTAATGGGAGGGTAGGCTGCTTCTGTCCAGGGAGGCTCTGTAGGTAGGGAGCAGAGGTAGGCTGCTTCTGTCCAGGGAGGCTCCACAGGTAGGGTCACCTGGGAGGGTCACCTGGTTGGGTGCAGAGGTAGGCTGCTTCTGTCCAGGGAAGCTCCACAGGTAGGGAGCAGATGGGAAGGTTACTTGGCTGGACGCAGAGGTAGGTTGCTTCTGTCCAGGGAGGCTCTATGTGTAGGGAGCAAATGGGAGGGTTGCCTGGGTGGGCCCAGAGCTAGGCTGCTTCTGTATGGGGAGGCTCCGTAGTTAGAGAGCAAATGGGAGAGTTACCTGGCTGGGTGAAGAGGTAGCCTGTCTCTGTGCATGGAGGCTCTACATGCACAGAGTAAATGGGAGAGTTACTTGGCTGGGCCCACAGATAGGTTGCCTCTCTATGGGGAGGCTCCACCGGTAGGGAGCAAGTGGGAAGGTTGCCTGTCTGGGCCCACAAGTAGACTGCTTCTCTACAGGGAGGCTGCAAATGGGAAGGGTATCTGGCTGGACCCCCAAGTAGACTGCTTCTCTATGGGGAGGCTCCACAGGTAGAGAGCAAATGGGAGGGTTGTCTGGTTGGGCCGGCAGGTGGACTGCCTCTGTACAAGGAGGCTCCACAGGTAGGGAACAAACGGCAGACTAGCCTGGCTGGGCCCACAGATAGGCTGCCTCTGTACAGGGAGGTTTCTCATGTAGGGAGCGAATAGCCCTCCCAGAGAACTGATTTGTCTCTGTTCCCCGTTTGGAGGCCACCTGTCATTGCCACATCCGATGGTCGAGAGTTCTGTAACAATCAATATGTCCACCCAGCTTAGCATTTTCTTCCCTGTGGGGGCCACCCCAAGGCCTAATCCTGTTGACTGGTGCTTGGATGGATAGACTGTTTCTGTATGTGGAGGTTCAGTTTAGCAAACAGGGTCCCGCAATGACTGGTGATAATGGAGACCAGTGTTCCCTCTAAGCTGAGTTTGTGTGAGCTAGCTCACAGTTTTTTAGCCTCCGGCTCACATATTTTTGTCTTAGCTCAGGAAGGACGGCTCCAGAGCAAACTAATTTATGCAGTAGCCAAATCGCTCACTCACAACTTTAAGGCCAGGAGCTCACAAAGTAGAATTTTTGCTCACAAGACTCCACAGCTTAGAGGGAACATTGATGGAGACATTTATAAGGGTCAAAGATTCCCCTGAGCTCAGTGTTCTGTTTCCAGCTGTAGCTTACCAGGAGCTTCTAGGAAACCTACAAGTTGGCTCTACCCTGTTTTGTGTATTCGCATTGTGGTCGTCCTAAGAAAATCAGCGTGATACAGAGAAAGCAAAGCTGCAGCTGCCTTGACGTGCCAGTTTTCTATGCCGTGGGCATATGGGGTGGATATTGTGGAGCATTCAGGTGTGCGAGTCCTGCCGGGGGTTGTCTGAAGTGGTTGACAACAGACACAGGTCGATCACCATATCGAGACCTCAGCTTGAGTGTCAGAAGAAAAGAGGAACAACAGAGTTTGTGTCCAGGGGCACCTTTAAAACCAACCAAGTTTAAATTCTGGATATAAGCTTTCTCGTGCACGCACACACCTTCAGGGCCATTTGCAACATATGACAACAAATAAGTATGGCCCCCCCAAAAAAGAATCAAAACAAATTACGAATCAATATTCAGTGTTCCCTCTAAGCTGAGTGAGTGTGAGCTAGCTCACAGTTTTTTAGCCTCCGGCTCACACATTTTTGTCTTGGCTCAGGAAGGAGGGCTCCGGAGCTAACTAATTCATGCAGTAGCCAAATCGCTCGCTCACAACTTTAATACCGGCTGCTCACAAAGTAGAATTTTTGCTCACAAGACTCCACAGCTTAGAGGGAGGATTGATTATCAGTACAAAAATTAATCCGTACGAAGTAGGTCAGTGAAGTTTGGGGGCATGGCAGGGAGGGGAGGGCCCCCCCCCCCGAAAACAGAAGGAGAAGAGATTGGATTTATACCCTGCCCTTCACTATCTGAAGGAGTCTCAGAGTGGCTTACAAGCTCCTTTCCCTTCCCCTCCCCACAACAGACACCCTGTGAGGTAGGAGAGTATAAGAACATAAGAGACGTCAATGTCGGATCAGGCCAAAGGCCCATCTAGTCCAACACTCTGTCACACAGTGGCCAAAAATACCAGGGGCCATCAGGAGGTCCAGCAGTGGGGCCAGGACACTAGAAGCCCTCCCACTGTTGACCCCCCCCCCCCAAGCACCAAGAAGACAGAGCATCACTTGCCCCAGAGCCCCTATCTTTACCTTGTGGCTAACAGCCACTGATGGACCTCTGCTCCATATGCCTATCTAATTCCCTTTTGAAGCCGTCCATGCTTGAATAGTTATTCAATAGGAAATAGTCTCCTGTCGTCCAAGTATGAGCCTGCTTTAACATGCTGTGGTGTCTTTCCCCGTGCACCAGGTCCAGTAACTGATGCTAACAGCAACAATGGGCTGAGTGCCGTTGGAAGCAGGCGCTGCTAACTGGCCTTGGCAGAAGAAGACACCTGGCTTCCTTATCTTCTGTCTCTCCCCATCTCCAGTTTGGTGTAGTGGATAAGAGCACGGACTCTTATCTGGAAGAATTGGGTTTGATCCCCCACTCCTCCACGTGCAGCCAGCTGGGTGACCTTGGGCAGTCATAAGTTCTTTCAGAGCTGTTCTCTCAAGAGCAGTCCTCGAAAGAACTCTGTCATTCCTGCCTACCTCACAGGGTGTCTGTTGTGGGGAGAGGAAGGAATGGAGACTGAAAGCCACTCTTGAGAGTCCAAGTGAAGGGTTTGGTATAAACCCAATCTCTTCTTCTTCTCTGGACCTCGCTTACGCTCCAAGCCATGCAGCCTCTGGATGGAAATGCCCTTAATAAGAGATGGTTGTTGTTGTTCAGTCGCACAGTCGAGTCCGACTCTCCGCGACCCCATGGACCAGATCACGCCAGGCCTTCCTGTCTTCCGCCGTCCTCTGAAGTTTGCTCAATTTCATGTTCGTTGCATCTAGGAAGAGGGAGGGTGTGCCCCGGATCTTCTTGGCCATGTGTGAACTCCCCTGCGGAGACCTCCTCGAGAGGTCTCAGGGAGTTACTCCCCTAGGGTAGGCTAAAACACCCGTGGGAGTGTGGTCTGCTAGGGCTTGTACGTTTATTTGATCATTGACAGTTTCTTCAGAGCAAAGGATTTAGCATTGATCTGTGTCACCCATTGGGCTGCCTCATACTGAATCTTAAACCCGGGGTCCATCCAGGTCAGTCGTATCTACTCAGACTGGCAGCAGCTCTTTAGGGTCCGGGTTCAAGGTCTTTCACATCACCTGCTCCCTGTTCCTTTTAACTGGAGATGCCAGGATCTGGTCACCAGATAAATTAGCCAAATGCTATACAAACACCTCCCAAAACTGTTGGAAATGTAAACATCGTATAGGTACTTACTATCATATGTGGTGGAGGTGTCATATAACACAAAATTATTGGCGTAGAGTACATAAATTAATAAAAGAAATTATGGATATAGATTTACCGTAGATACCAGAAATTTTCTTGTTAAATATGTTACCAGATGAATGTAAAAAAACAGATCAGTAGGTTATAACGTATATGTTAACTTCAGCTCGTATTGTGTTTGCCAAATATTGGAAATTAGAGAAAATACCTTCAAAGGAAGAATTAATTCAAAGGTTGTTGGATATAGCGGAGATGGATCAATTGTCATTAATTTAGAAGGAAAAAACGAAGATTTGTTTCGAGATAGATGGTATAGATTTTATACCTGGTTAGAAAACAAGCATTGTAACAGACTTACAGTATTGTAATCAAGTTAATGTAACTGATATATGTATCAGTGATGATGTGAACATTTTAAATAAAACTCTTAAAAAAACACCTTGAGATCCTGGGGGTTGAACCTGGGACCTTCTGCAATGCCAAGCAGAGGTTCTTCCACTGAGCCACAACCCCTCTCTAAGAGACACAGACAGAGAAGTCAAACTATCTATTTTAACTGCCCCCCACTCAGATAATGTCTTACATTTGCTCAGTTTTTACCTGTTGAGGAGCAATGGACTGGTCAGCACACATCATTTCCCCCCCACCAGAGCCGGTTTCATGTAGTGTTTAGGAGTGCGGACTCTAATCTGGGGGAACCGGGTTTGATTCCCCACTCCTCCCCATGCAGCTGCTGGTGTGACCTGGGGTCAGTCACAAGTTCTCTCGGAGCTGTTCTCACACGAGCAGTCCTCAAAAGAGCTCTCTCAGCCCCACGTATCTCCCAGGGTGTCTGTTGTGGGGAGGAGATGGAAAGGAGTTTGTAAGCTGCTCTAAGACTCCTTCGGGTAGTTAAGGGCGGGGTGTAAAAACCAATCTCTTTTTCTTCTCTTTGTAGTAAGGGAGCAGCTGAAGGAGCTGACCAAGCAGTACGAAAAGTCTGAGAACGATCTCAAAGCCCTGCAAAGCGTCGGCCAGGTGAGTGTTTATGTGACGATGTCCAGTGACTGAGCAGGTGCCTAATGGACTGCGTTTGAAACTGGGTTGGGAGAGAGAACAGACTATGGAAGCCTGTGAACGTAAAAAACCCAACTGGGTCAGATTACTTGTTGATAGCACACAAGTAGGGTGTGAAGAGAACAGCCTCCCCCTGTGTTTCCTCCTCGAAACTGGAAGTCAGGAAGACAACCTCTGAGCATGGAGGTTTCATTTAGCCATCGTGGCTAACAGACATACCCTCCATGAGATAGTCTGGTTCCCTCTTAAAGTTACCTTAATCTGTCAGCCATCTTGTGGCAGTGAATGATGCACTGAATGAGGAAAGACTTCGTTTTATCTCTCCGGTGTCTCCTGCCCATCAGCTTCATTAAGAGACTGTGTTGTGTATCAGCAGGCAAAAAAAAAAGCAAGAGTCCAGCAGCACCTTAAAGACTAACAAAATTTGTGGCAGGCTGTGAGCTTTTGTGAGTCACTGAGGAAGTGAGCTGTGACTCACAAAATCTCCTCCCCTGCCACAAATTCTGTTAGTCTTTAAGGTGCCACTGGACTCTTGCTTTTTTCTGCTGCTACAGGCAGACTAACATGGCAAGTCTTGGTCTTAACTTGAGATGTGAAGGCCCGGAAAAAAAACGGAGAAATTCAGGAAAAAACAGTGTTTTTTTTCCCCCAGAAGCCTTTTTTGTTTTTTTTTCTGAAAAATTGGAAAAATTGATTATGGAACATTTTATTTTAACAAGATGAATAAAATATTTTAAGACAAGGTGTTCAAATGTTTTCCAAATCATTTCTAAAAAATAGGTATGTTATTAGATTGATCTAATTTCTGTGCACTGAGGACAGGCAAGTCCTAGGTTACAAACTGAACTCTCCAATGCAAGAACAAGATGCATTTCTTCCTTTAGGAGGTACTATTGTCACAATAAAATAAAAAAGTTTCAGTTTTGTTTTTGCATGTGGGTGGGTATTCTGTTTGTAATAATTGTTTGGCTACACTACATTTTTAATATGCTAGTTGTGATAATTTCATCCCAAGTAAAAATGTCCATAGTCATATTTTATGTTCCTAAAGTAACAGAATGACTTTCAATCTGGAAAAGAAAAAAGAAGTGCTAATGTAGCATTTTTTTCAATTTTTCCGAAAATTTCCGTTTTTTTCCAAGCTTCAAAATTTCTGGAAATTTTACATCTCTAGTTTTGAACATTCTGACTGCGACACTGTGGCAATTTCTCTGTTGTCATCTTACGGCCCATTTTTGCAAAGCTTGTTCTTCCCATGGGAGCAGAGTGGAACGTCTTCCATTTCTTCTCACTGACATTCCAGCAGCTGCCAATAAATCTCCAGTCAGTAAACTGTTTCCGTTTTTTGACACTGTGAAAACCGCAGCCAAGCGTCGTTGGAACACACGGCACTTAAAGTCGTGTGAACACACGGAACTGCCATACATTAAATCAGAGCCTTTGCTCTGTCAAGCTCAGTCTTGTCAACTCAGGCTGGCAGCTGCTCTCCGGGGTCTCAGGCAGGGGTCTCTCTCATCACCTACTGCCTGATCCTTTTTCAGTGGAAGTGCTGGGGATTGAAGCTGGGACCTTCTGCATGCCAAGCACGTGCTCTATCACTGAGCTGTGGCACCTCCCCTAATTTCATTAGTGTTTAACATACGAAGCTGCCTTCTACTGAATCAGGCCCTCGGTCCATCTAGAACAGTATTGTCTACTCAGTCTGGCAGCCGCTCTCCAGGGTCTCAGGCGGAGGTCTTTCCCATCACCTACTGCTAGATCCTTTTGACTGGCGATGCCGGGGATTGAACTTGGGACCTTCTGCATGCCAAGCAGAGGCTCTGCCCCTGAGCCACGGCCCCTCCCCTAATTTCATTAGTCTTTAATATGTGGAGCGGCCTCCTACTGAATCAGACCCTCGGTCCATCAGCGTTGTTTACTCTGAGGGGCAGTGGCTCTCCAGGGTCTCTGGAGGAGGTCTTTCACATCACCTCCTTTCGACTGGCGATCCCGGGGATTGAACTTGGGACCTTTGCATGCCAAGCAGAGGCTGTACCACTAAGCCACAGCCTCTCCCCCAGCATGCCTTCCCGATGACAGCCAGGGAGAGGTCTTGCACACGTGTGCCTAATTTTTTCTTTCTCACTTATTTTAACAGATCGTCGGCGAGGTTCTTAAACAGTTAACAGAAGAGAAGTGTAAGTAGTCTGGGTGGGAAGGGGTCGGCTTTCCTAATCCTGGCCTCATCCCAGTGGGGCCTTCCTCCGATGTGAACCTTTTGGGCGGGAGGGTGGCGGCGCTGTGGCCGGGAGGTGCGAGCCGCTCTCTTTAATGTCACAAATAACACCCACCAAGGGAAGGCCATCCACAATTCACGACCGTATAACCTTCTTTTTTTTTAACATCCCCAAAAGAGCTGGATTTTTTAATTGCATTTTCTAAATAAACTACAAGAGATCAAGGAAGGGGAATCTATAAACGATGGGAGAAAGTAAAGAAAACCACTAAAAACCGCAAGAGAACAACTGTATATCCTCAAAACTGTGTATTACATTCATTGAAGTACAAAGATGGGTTAGTGGTTGTAACCCAGTAGACCGTGTAGGCACATATCCGACAGATTGCTCATGACAGTTAAGCGTATTTTACAAAAAGAACATATTCAAAACCGTAGGCTACGCATTCTGTTGGGTCATGACCAGTGTGTCAGAACCCACAGCCAACAACGTAGTACACGCTTATCAAGAAAGGTAATACTTTATTGGAGAGCTATAGATGCATTGGGGAGCTGCGGTGGCTCAAGTGGTTAAGACGCTGAACTGCAGGCTGTGGAAGGTCGGTAGTTCAGCAGTTTGAGACCCGAGTTGCCGCATGACGGAGTGAGCTCCCGTCTCTAGTTCCAGCTCTTGCCAACCTAGCAGTTCGAAAGCAAGAAATTGCAAGTAGATAAATAGGTACCACTTCGGTGTGAAGGTAACAGCGTTCTGTGCGCCTTGGCGTTTAGTCATGCCGGCCACATGATCACGGAAACGTCTTCGGACAGTGCTGGCTCTTCGGCTTTGAAACGGAGATGAGCACCGCAACCCTAGAGTCGGATTCGACTGGCTTTCGAGCAAGGGAACCTTTACCTTTACTTATAGATGCATTAACATAGGCACTGTTAAGCATGGCGGTTGCCCATCGGGCATAATAGTATATAGGGTATTCGTATGCACACACACCCCCACTGCCCTGGCCAATTAGCCGCACTCCGGCCATTAGCGCTGAAGCTGGGAATCCACCTCGCTCCCACGGTTCTCAATGAAGCTAGACACCAACATCCCACCACCTGCAGAACTTAGAGATACGCGTTACAGCAGCGAAGAAGCACAGAAAGAAAGCAGTGGCAATTAGAATACAACAGACCTCCCCAATCTCCATGGCAGCATAGGTTACACAGTGTTTCCTGTAAGCTGAGTTAGTGTGAGTTAGCTCACAGTTTTTAAGTCTCCGGCTCACACATTTTTGTCCCAGCTCAGGGAGGAGGGCTCCAGAGCAGACTAGTTTATGCAGCGGCCAGATTGCTCACTCAGTTCTTTAATGCCAGCAGCTCACAAAGTAGAATATTTGCTCACAGGACTCCACAGCTTAGAGGGAGCGTTGTTTATGACCACCAACCCTTCCTTGTACTTCAGTGAATGTAATATACAGTTTTGAGCACATATAGTTGTGAATTGTAGATGGTCTTCCCTTGGTGGGTGTTACTTGCGGCTATACTTGTACGCTACGGGTTCCGTATTGTCTTTGGCTCTCTTTAATGAGGCGGAAGTAAAATGAGTCCTTTGGCTTAAACCAGGGGCGGCCAAACTTGCTCAACTAAGAGCCACCTGGAATAAACGTCCGATGTTTGAGAGCCGCAAGACGTGAACAGATATTACATGTTTTTATTTATGTATTTATTTTATTCAGGGCTATTTTTGGGCAGGAAAGCACAGGAACGGAGTTCCGGCTGGCTCCCAAGTTGGCCACGCCTGGCAGGAACTCATTAGCATAATAGACCACACCCAACAGCAGAAACTCGTTAGGATTGGCTACATTCGGGGTGTGTGGCCTAACATGCAAAGGAGTTCCTGCTCCAAAAAAAGCCCTGGGTTTTGACAACAAACAACGTAAACAGAATAAGAAGCAGAAGGTGGGTGTGGCTGGATGACCACACTTCTGATAACATGGGGTTGTGGCCTAATATGCTAATAAGAGAAGAAGAAGAGATTGGATTTATACCCCGCCCTTCCCTACCCAAAGGTGTCTCAGAGCCGCTTAAAAACTCCTTTCCCTTCCCCTCCCCACAACAGACACCCTGTGAGGTGGGTGGGGCTGAGAGAACTCTGACACAAACTGCTCTTTTTCAAGGACAGCTGTGCCAGAGCTTGCGACTGACCCAAGGTCACACCAGCAGGTGCAAGTGGAGGAGTGGGGAATCAAACCCGGTTCTCCCAGATTAGAGTCCGCGCACTTAACCACTACACCAAACTGGCTGTGCTGTGCTAATAAGCTGTGCTGTCAGGGGTGTGGCCTAATATGCTACTGAGTTCCTGCTGTTGGTTATGGCCTATTATGCTAATGAGTTCCTGCTGGGCTTTTTCTACAAAAAAAGCCCTGATTTCATTTATTCTATTGATACCCCGCCCTCCCAGCAATTAAAATAGCAATCTTAAAACCATAGAAATAACAATATTAAAAGGTGCTAACAGCAATAATCCGATTTCCAATAACAGATATCAGTTGAACATGACGTCTAAGATGGCGCTCAACTTCCATGCCAGCCTAATGGTCGATCTCAGTCTGACAATCTACGGGTGGCTCAGGCTGCTTTAAGATTTCCAGGGGCAGGCCATTCTCCCCCCAGGGCGGCTCCTAATTGAATGCCCGGCGGAACAGCTCCGTCCCGCAGGCCCTGCGGAACTGCACAAGTCCCCGCAGGGCCCCGATCCCCCCCCCCGGGAGCCCGCCCCACCAGAGCGGAGCCGCCACTGAGAAACTCCCGGCCTGCCTGGCATCCTTTGGCCCGGGAAGGGTGAGTCGATGCTGAGACCCCGGGCCATAAAGGAAACGTGCAGATTTGCCTTTTTTTAATTAACATTTAGTAATAGTAGAACAATTGGAAAATCGCAAGGAAGTGACAAGGATATGGTCGTAGGAAGATCCTGCTGACAAGTTAATAGACGGCATTGTGATATAGGCATCTGCACTTACAGTTTGCATTACTGTTTAAACAGCAATCTTGTTTATGCATACTTGACTTACCTTTTAATAAAATTAATTATTAACGGGGGGGAAAGGAAAAAAAATTAAATGAGACTGCCAAAGATAATAACAAAAAGGGTAAAAGCAGATATCGATGATGATATTTATCTGTCCAGTGGTATTTGTTTGCTGATGATATTTAGCTTCCCCGGCCGCCCTGCCGGGAGCCGCACCATATGCATGAAAGAGCTGCATGCGGCTCCCAAGCCACAGTTTGGCCGCCCCTGCCTTAAACCAAGGGTGACGAGTGCAAGCGCAGAGGGGCGGGGCCTGCTGTCCGATGGCCTGCCTCCCTTCAGCCGCTGCCGTCCCAGATAGCTTCCATGTTGCTGACGCTGTTTTTTGTTCCCTTGGCCGCATCCAGTCATCGTCAAAGCCACGAATGGACCAAGATACGTTGTTGGCTGTCGGCGTCAGGTAAGCGGCTTCTGGAATTTGCACATCAGTGTCTAAAATCGTCGCTTCGGTGGATGCGTTTGAGGCTTTAGGAGGAGGAGGAGGAGGAGAAGAAGAGGTTGGATTTATACCCCGCCCTTCTCTACCGAAGGGAGTCTCTCAGAGCGGCTTACAAACTCCTTTCCCTTCCCCTCCCCACAACAGACACCCTGGGGGGCAGGTGGGGCTGAGAGAGCTCTTGACAGAAACTGCTCTTTTTCAAGAACAGCTCTTATCAGAACTATGGCTTGCCCAGGGTCATCCAGCGAGGTGCAAGTGGAGGCGTGGGGAATCAAACCCGGTTCTCCCAGATTGGAGTCCCGTGCACTTAACCACTACACCAAAGAGGGTCTCAGAGCGGCTTACATTCTCCTTTCCCTTCCCCTCCCCACAACAGACACCCTGTGAGGTAGGCGGGGCTGAGAGAGCTCTGACAGGAACTGCTCTTTTCCAAGGACAGCTCTGACAGAACTACGGCTTGCCCAAGGTCATCCAGCAGCTGCACGTGGAGGAGTGGGGAATCAAACCCGGTTCTCCCAGATTAGAGTCCGCGCACTTAACCACTACACCAAACTGGCTCTACAGCCTTTATTCATCTCAATGAGGCCTGTTATGTGAGGTGTTTAGCACCTTAGTGAGGGAAGAAGAGGAGGAGGAGGAGATTAGCTTTATACCCCGCCCTTCACTACCCAAAGGTGTCTAAGAGAGGCTTACAAACTCCTTTCCCTCCCCCTCCCCACAACAGACACCCAGTGAGGTAGGTGGGGCTGAGAGAGCTCTGACGGAAACCGC